GGCCCGGCGCCGGAAACGGTCTCCCGGGAGCGGGCGCGTGAGTGCGCACCCACCCGCGGCGCGGCCCTGCGTGGGCGGCGAGCGGCCTCGGCGGCTGCGTGTCACCCCCGTCACGACTTGGGTGCTACGCACTTCGCCCCCAAGCCTTCAGCTCCGGCGCTGCTGCGGACCCCTCCTCCCTGACACGCCGTTCCGAGCGGACCCGGGCGCTCGGGAAGCCTGTCCCCACCCCGCCTCGGACGTCACCCTCCTCGGACCACCCAACCCACACCTTCCGCCCCGGGCGCGCGCGGGAGGGGGTAGATGGCTCCAAGCTGTCAGGAGCCTACAGTGTGCCACATGACGAAGCTCGCCCTCGTCCTCGCCACTCACGCAGCAGCCTTGCTGCGAGCTGAAACAGACATATTGGGGGGGGGAGCTGTCTTGACGTTTCTCTATTGATTTTAACCCCCCCCCCATACAGAAGCATTAGACTCAGCTCTACCTACGCAGTTGCTTTGCCTCCCCACGGTCTCCTACCAAATCCAAGCGACTTATCAAAATCCAGATGCCCACCCCACACACCTGCTAGCTAACCTGCCTTCTGGAAACCCGAAGCCCCACCCATCCCGCCTGCGGGGGTGGTCCTGGGTTTGGATTGGGGAGGGGGAGAGGTGCAGGCGACTGCGATCACGGGTAGTCACAGAAAAGAGGGGGGGACATGCACCCCTTGCCCTCCCACTCCCCATCTCCAGAGCAAGAGGACGCATCCTGCTGCCCTCCGCCAAAATAATAGCCCAAGTCAAAGCGCTGGTTTCCTAGGGGCTGCCTCTTCCCCCCGGAGAACCAAGGCGTCGCATCCCTCCCAATCGCACGCCCCCGGCCCTTACTTCTTGTTGACAGCAGAGGTGGGGGGCGTGGGAGCCATGCGTGAGTTGCCTCCAGGTTCGGGATGTTGGTCTCCGCTGAGTGAAGAGGTGGGATCTCGAAATGGAAACAGTCCTCTCTCCTCTCTCTCTCTCTCCCCCCCCCCCCCCCCGCGCGCCGGTCCCTCCCCTCCTCCTCCTCCTCCTCTTCGTCTGTTTACCTCAAGTTTGAATTTTATCTGCGCAACATTAGCTGGAATGCGGACATTGAAAAAAAAAAAAAAAAAACCACTCGCTCTCAACCCGGCAGCAGCTCCGGAGGAGCCATGTGGCATCAAGCCACCGCAAAGGGGAAAAAAGTGCTCTTAGCAACACAAACATGGCGAAATAGCTCCGACATGCCCATTTCACGCAGCAGCCCTACCTTCCTTCTCTCGCCCGCCGCCGAGCATCCTGGCCGGCAGCCGCAAGCCCCTTGCGGGGGGCGACGAGGGGCCCCGGGGGAGTGCGAGGGTGGACGTCACCAGAGTCCACCGGGAAAATAGCTCGGATGACGCGCCACCCCATCTGCCTCACGGAGAGTGCGGGGGACACCTTTTTTTTCACCCCCAAGGTGGGAGTCGAGTACCAAATTCCCGTCGTCCCCCCCACCCCGTCCTGCTGGGCCCGTTTCCCCCACCCTACAGAACTTACCGATGGTCTGAACATGACGCCGCTCTGCTTGCTTTCTGGTTCCTTCCTCCCGGAGCGAGGAGGAAAATGATGCGCACGTAGATTCCGAGAGCGTATTCTTCTAGAATTTTCCCAGGATGGTCGCGGGGAGCGGTGGAGACTCGGAGACAGGTGCGGGGCTGCCGGTTAAAAGTTGCTCTGCGCACGGTGGGCAACAGGGTCCCCGGAGCGGGCCGAGGACCCCCCACTCCCTGCCCCCGGCGTCGCCCACTTGTCACGCCAGGCTGCTGCGTGCGCTCGGCTGCAGGGGAGGTGGCGTAGTTTCTTTTTCTCCCACCTCTTCTCACTCACTTGTTTTTTGTAGCCGTGGGCTCCCCTAATGCTTTCCTCTCCACAATGTTGTTTCATTATATCATGTCCATCATGTGACACCGGAGAGGCCTCTCTATGGAAACTTAAAGGGGCTCCCACGTGACTGCAGCAGCAGCAACAACAGCAGCAGGACCGGCGGCGGCGGCGGCGGCGGCGGCCGCAGCGTTTGTACCACCACCCACCGGGAGCCCCTCGCAGCATCCCGAAGGGGCTTGTGGCGCTGCAGAAGCCTAGATAAGGGGGCCACTGCATCCGGGAGCTGTGGCGTCGGTGCGTGCGTGGAGCCGGTGCTCATTACACAGCAAACGGAACAGGAGCGTCCTTAAATCCTTTCCTGCAGTCACCAAACCCACGCTCTGTTAAAATGACATTTCGTGGTTCCTACTTTATTTTCTCCAGAGAGCTGTGAGTTTCCTCTCAGGCCTGATTAAATTTTACAAAGTCAAAAAGAAAAACCAGATTTGCCCCCCTCAGTGAGCTCTCTCTCTCGCAGATCGCTGGTAGAATAGAAATGCCCAGACAATAACAACAAATAGAATCGGGCATTTGTTCCATAATTCCCATCACCACCAGTTTCGGAGCTTTCTGGAATTACATTCCTCCGGTAACTGTTGATGATGCTCTCAAGAGGCAGAATGCAACGCAGTTTTTCTCTTCCGCAGCTATATTAGGGCTTTGTTGCTGACAACAGTAAAAACTTGTTTGTGTCAGGAAGTGAGGTATGAACCTGTAAGGAAGGTACAGACAAAACCAAAGTAGCAGTTTGGGTACTACTTTTCTGACCACGTTCTTTCAAATGGTGACAAGATGACTGCTGTAAATGCGTGTTTGGTTGGAAATGGGATGATCAGGAAAACATGCTTATCCCTTAATCATACTGTACATGCTACACACTAGAAATTATGTGTACATATCTATGCATGTGTGTGGACAGAAAGCAAGCACGCGCATTTTCATGATATTAGAAACCACCAATTCTGTCCCCCACGGCTAGCATTTAACTTAAGTATTAACGTTTAAAGGCTTATTCGAGTCCAGTGATGTATGAAAACTAACAGTTTGAAGTACTTAGTCTTACCGACTTGGCAGGCTGGGGGCACGCGGGGGGGGAGGTGGGGGGAGGCTGTTCTACTTTGAATTTGCAATTCTCTGTCTCAAAGTTTTATGGATCATGGAAATATCCTATAAATTTAAAATAAACTACTATTTCTCTGTTGGTTCATGCGTTTCCATTTTTATAAGGAAAATCAGATGGGCGGAATTGTGAAAAAGAAAAAAAAAAAAACCAACTGAGTAACCTCAAGAGTGGGATGGGAGATGAGCTACCTTCTGGCCTGGTCTTGTCTTTCTACTTCATCAGTTATAATAAACGATCGCACTAAATCCCTTTTAAGTCTATTAGCCACCATCCTTTTGGCCTTCCAACCTCACATCTAATTCTTTCATCCTTTACCCCTCTTTTTCCTGAGACCCCCCCCCCAAGTTCAGGCCCTTTGCTTATGTGCCCAGCTCAGGCCTTCCCAAATACTTAACACCCCCCCCCCCCAACACACACCACCACCAGCACCACCACCACCACCACCAGCACCACCACCACCACCACCAGCAGCAGCAGCTGGCTCACTTCTCAGCAACTCTACCCCCTTACCTCTCTTTGACCTCCTTTCATCTCCACAGCCTGGCCCTTGACTTCACGGACTCGTCTTACCTTTCTTCACCTGAAATGTTCTGCCCTTTTGGGGTCTCCTTTACCCCCTCCTCTCTGGTCCCATCCCTTCTGCTGGCAAGCCCCAGCATTCCTCCACGGCTGGGCCTGGTCAGCTTGAACCTCATTTTGTTGGCTTGCCCGGGGCAGGGAGGGAGTGTGTGGTGCAAATTGGGGCCAAGACTACCCCTGGACTAGACCCCTGCCTTGCCCCCCTGCGCCCCTCCCCAGCCCTGGTTGCGGCGCTTCCTGGGCGGATGGTTTGGACTTGCTGCGGCAGCTGCGGTTCTGCTGTGTCATGCAAGAAGGAGGCGGCGGCGGCGGCGGCGGCAGCGGCCGGAGCTGGAGGGGGAGGAGGGGAGGAACCTGATCCTCGGTAGCGAAGGGCTGGAGGCAAACACCGAGCTCCCTCTGAGCCGCCCGGGAGCAGGGAGGGCTCTGCTACCCAGAGGGGCCCTCCCCGCGGGGCAGAGGGTAAGTTGGGCGGCGCAGGTGGTCGCCTTGGGAAGGGAGCGCGCAGGGGGGTTAGGTGGGACGGCGGGCGCTCTAGGAGCCACCGGGCCCTAAGGCGTCAAATGTCCAGCTATCAGAGACCCAGGCCATAGAAAAGATGGCCAGCCAGTAGCAGCAAGAATAACTATTTGACTAATGCCCTACAGTTGTCCCAGGTCACACGGTGGGTGGAGTTGTAGATCCCGAACTCAGGACCCAGCTAGAGGCAATGATTCAGGGTTGCAGGAACTTCATCCCAGCAGCCCTGGCGCGGTAGAACACCCTTGAATAGCAAAGGCCAACACACCCCAGGTTCCTGTCGTCTTTCTGGACTTTCTGGGTTGCCTTCTTCAAATCTAGGGGAAAGGGTGGGAAACTGGTCCAACCTCACTTTAGCCACGGGAAGAAAAAAAAAAAAAAACCCCGCTCTTGGCCAGTGGCCTTGGACAAGCAGCCTCTGGTGCAATTAAACAATCAATAGGAAAAAGCTTCATTCCCCACCCCCCACCCCCCACCCCCAAGCTCCATCGACCAAGGTAATTCATGGGGCTTACAGGAGAAAGAATATGTGGTATATTTTGCACTGTCCAAGCCGTCAGTCAGTCTGCCACTACACAAACGCCACCTGTACACTCCAGGGTTCACCCTGCCTTCAGAGGGGGGCTTCTGAGAGACACAACATACTGCACCATGTTCCAAGAGGAGACCACCCTAAACTCCCGACAGACAATGTCACCTCCATTGCCCGTTTCTCCCCAAGGGAATCGGAAACCTAGACTTGAGGGCAGTGAACTGTAGAGACAGGCTGGGCACCTAAGAACATTTCTCTTTTCACCTGCCTACAATTCTCAGGACAGCAATATTTTATTATTATTATTATTATTATTATTATTATTATTATTATTATTCCTTTCCATGTCCCTCCTGGAAATCTCAAGAAGCGCTTTCTGAAACATGTCAGTCATACGTTTGGAAGGAAGGGGTGAGGGAGGGGATTAACGGAAAGGCTAAGGACTGTCTCAAAAGCACATGCGGTTGCTAGGGAACTCAAGCTCGTCCCGCTCGCTAATCACCAGTGTGGTACAGGGAAATCAAACTGCTCGGGGTGTTATTAAAATGAATGGCATTTGGTTAAAGGCTTCTTTGCTTATGTTGTAGCATCCTGGATTATTATCGATTGCCTCACACCCACATATCTTGTTTTCCTAATTTGATTTCTGTATTTGCGTCACTGCCAGGGACACTCAGACTAGACCAGTCAGGTTCACTTCCTGTTTCTCAGAACTGGTTTATATTTGGTCGCGTTGCACTAACTGGTAAGACATTATCACGCTGATCCTCTTGGAAAGGAATTTTTGCTTTCCGTTGAAAACAAATTATCCCAATTAAATGCTAATTCTCATGGAAAACGTCATTGCAGGAGGGTTAAGGCACTGCCAGGCTACTTTACTAGCCATTTGAGAAAGCCATTCTTGACATGTAAAGCCAAGAAAAATCCACCCCCCCCCCCAAAGGAAATCTTCATTCCTCAGCTTTGGAACTAAAGCAAACTAAAGAAGAGAAAATATTTAAGTATGATATTTCCAAAATGAAGCATAAAAAAAAAAAGTACACATTGAAGCCGGAGGAGTCATTTCGACTAAATAAGGCACAGAATTGAATGCAGGCCAGGCCCAGGAAGGACAAATAAATATGGATAGGCACTGTGGCCCTAAGAGAACACAGTGTGATTGCAAGGCTACTTTACAATTAGGAAACCCCATCACCTTGTGAACTAAATGTCTCTTTTTCTGATTCCTCTATGCCCCTGATAAGGCAGGCCTTCCTTTTTATATTTTTGCTTCCAGCTCCTTCCTCTTTATAACAAGAATGTCACCAAGGCAATAACAGAGATAAGACTATGTCAATAGGTGGGTTCTGATGGAGCTAATTTGTTTGATGAAAAATACAGCACATATGGCATTTGAAGAAAGATAGGTCTCCACTTCTGGGCACTGGATGAGCCTGGGCAGCCATTTGGGGTCTTTGCATGTTGGTGTCTTTATGGAAGCTTACTGAAAGATCCTGACGTTTCCTTGCATTTAATTCCAATTTTTAGCTCTTAGATTTTTTTCTTTTTCTTTTTCTTTTTCTTTCTTTCTTCCTTCCTTCCTTCCTTCCTTTCTTTCTTTCTTTCTTTCTTTCTTTCTTTTTTTTTTCATTCAACCTTCAATACCTAGCTGTAGAGATTGGGATGTGTGTTCACGTGACTGATGATTTGGTGGTGGTGGTGGTTGAGTTTTAATGTCAGTTGCCACATGAGTAAGAGCTACCTCGTTTCCTTTGCATTTCTTCTCTCTTTCCCTTGTAGTGGCGCAGAACCAACAGGCTAAAAAGTACAAAAGTTTGGGAGACTAGGCAAAGGCCTTCCAGTTATTCCAGATGCAGTTAACCCCTGCATAATAGTGAGCACAGGGATGGAATGATGGAGGGAGGAAGGGCTATCCAAACACAGTAATCAACTGGATTCTGATGGAGCCACACATCTGTTTGCCTGGGTTTTAATTAGCAATAGATATAAACATGCACGGTTGTAATTTAGAATCCCTCCAATTCAAGATATTAAAAAAAAATAGGGTGAGGAAATGTGAGATTTGTGCTGGAAAGAGAGATCCTGACTTTGAAACCCAGTTCTGCTGCTCAGTTCATTATTGAGTGCTTGCTGTGGCCCTAGAAATGCAAAGATAAACATAGTCCATGCCCTACAGGATCTTATAGTACAATGAGGAGACAACTGAAAACACAGTTGATCATGAAATAGTGAGATGATATCTAAGGAGAGCTCAAAGGAGGGTGCTTAGCTGCAGAAGTAGTAAGTGAAGTAAGCCACATGTGCAAACAAAATAGAGGACAATTTAGACCGGAGAAGAAGAAGAAGAAGAAGAAGGAGAAGTGGAAGGGGAAGGGGAAGGAAGGGGAAGGAGAAGGAGAAGAAGAACGCACGTCAAGAACTTAACTTAGGTAAAAAGGCACACCCAAGGAACTGAGCCTAGAAGATGGTGCCCAGCAAATAGAAGATGCTCCACAAATATTTACATGGCATGAATTCATGGCAGAAGTCCTGAAAGATAAATAGACTTTTGTAACAGTGAAAGGCTCTATCTTTCTAAGAAGTTTGGACTTACTGTAAGGCCGATGGAAAGCTGTTGATTAATTTTTAATATTTATTTATTTAATGTGTATTTGTGTGTACATGAGTGTATGGGTGTATACCATATGCATATAGGAGCCAGGAGAGGTCAGGAGAGGGTGTGAGATCTCCATGGAGCTGGCTAACAGGCAGCTGTGAGCCACTATGTGGGTACTGGGAACCGAACCTGGGTTCTCTGCAAGAGCAGTCAGTGCTCTTAACTGCTGAACATCGCTCCAGCCTCTTAAATGTTTATGTTGATTAATTTTAATGAATATTCTGACATAATCAAATGGCCACTTTAGAAAGATCACTGCTGGGCCGGGCGGTGGTGGCGCACGCCTTTAATCCCAGCACTCGGGAGGCAGAGCCAGGCAGATCTCTGTGAGTTCGAGGCCAGCCTGGGCTACCAAGTGAGCTCCAGGAAAGGCGCAAAGCTACACAGAGAAACCCTGTCTCGAAAAACCAAAAAAAAAAAAAGAAAGATCACTGCTGCTGGGAGAATGTGTTAGTGATATTGTAAACCAGGAGATTAATCAGAAAGGATGTTTAGCATCCAAAGAAAAACAAAGAAGGGTAGTGGGCAGGGACACCAACCTCTTATACTAAGACAGCAAGAAGAGAAATCTAGAGAAGGAAAGAGTTCAATAACTAAGACGAATGAGTCTGATTATTGATTTTATCTGCGTGACCGAGACATGGTGGGAGAATTATGGCTTGGGCAAACAGGATGGTAGAGGCATCAGTCACCAAGATAGGGACCCTAGGAAGAAAAGAAGGTCACAATGAGAAGGAACTAGTTCAATTTTAAACCTACTAAGTTTGAAGTATCCACAGGATATCCAAGTGAGGCCATGTACTACTTACCGGAGGAAGCTGAAACTCAGGAGGCTTCTGTGTTAGAATCATCAGAATAAGGGAGAGTTCCCGGTTACAGATGAATCCCCAAGAGAGAAGGGACAGAGGACAAGAAGGGGGCCTGACATAAGCGCTGTGGAAACGCCATTTTCAAAGGTGAGGAAGGAAGGGTACTAGGGAGATATCTGGAGAAGAAGGAACAAGGAGGTTTAGATGACTGCC